GTTTCACCTCGCCGCGGTGCCTGCAAAGATCGGATTCGCACTGCGGCTGTCGACGTCATGGTTGAGATGCCCCCAGTGGATTCGCCGAGCCCAGCGGCGGAGCCAGGCCCCGCCTCCTCCTCCCCCCCCCCCCTACTGACAACGTGCCCCTCCGCGAATTCGTTCGCGAGTGGCGCACGCGGCCCAACGCAACGAGAAGAGCTCTGATTGCGCCGCAACAGGCTGCTGCTTTGCAGTGAGGTCTTAGAGGACTAGCCAGGACCCTGGCTGTGAGAGCGCCGTTCTCGGTCATCAACTTCGGCGCACAGTGAACGGCGCCGGCGGTGTTACATGCATCAAGTTTCTCCTCAGCTCCAAGTTTCAAGCATCTCTGGGGCGAGCGACAACTTATATCAGGAACAGCCCTCGTCGACTTCAGGGTCGACCGAGGTGAACGTATCGATTCGGTGCTGGCCCGATTTCGACATGGCCGCACTGGGTGCGGATTCGGCTGAAACCAGCATCCCGAATTTCCAGATATTGGCGTTCCTGCTGCTTCGGGCAATGGGCAATGGGAGTAGGCACCTCCCGAGCCTCGCAGCCACTCCAACTTTCAACCACCAGATGCCCCGAAACCAACGACAGCGCGACTAACTGCCGGAGCGAATGCGCAGCGGCGGTCCGCGGACACATGGCTGAGCGCTCTGCGGGAAATATCGGCGGGGTCTTCAGTGGTCGAGCTGCTGCCGGCGCGCTGCGCGCGGACGCGGTGCCGCGCCCGGCAAATGAGGGCGACCAAGGGCCGAAGGTTTGGACATCGGTTGCGCGCCAGCAACTGGCCCCAACGACAACTACTGCAACCAAGGGCCAGCTGCAGCGGCAGCCAGTTGCTCACCGCCAACTGCGACTGCCCCCTGAGGCTCGCCAGGCCAACGCCTGGACTCGCCCTTCGGGTCAGGGGCCGACGCGGACACCTCCTCACCCGCAGGCGTTGCTGAGATCGACTCGTCAGATTTCCCGCCGGCGACGATCGTCGCGCGCGACGCGCCGGGGGGCGCGCCGCGGATGGGCGGGGCTGGACTGCGATGCGCTCGTTTTGCTCGAGATATCCTCAACCAATCCCCACGCTGGACATGCGCCTGGGCGACCTGGGCGCGCGATAACAAGCGTCGTTCGAGAGATCCTCGACGCGTCCTGATTAGGGTCAGGCGTCCGCCTGGGCTGCCTGGGCGCTTGAAACCAGGCGCCTCGCTCGAAACGTTCTCGGTGCTTCTTCGTGCCAGACATCTGCGCGGGCTGCCTGAACTCTTGAAAACATACGTTTCGCTCGAGGCGCCCTGCCCATATCCCCATGTTAGACATGCGCCCAGGCGACTGAGCGCGTGAAAACCATGTTCCGCTCGGCACATAATCTTCAGCGCGTCCTCGCGCCAAGCGCCCGCTCGGGCGACCTGGGCGCGTGGGAGGGGGCGGTTCGCTCGAGACACATTGCCCGCATCTTCGCGTTGGACATCCGGCTGGGCGACCTGGGCGCGCGGAGACAAGCGTTTCGCTCGAGACGCCCACGACGCCTCGCGCTAGAAATCAGCCCGGGCGGCCCGGGCGCGCGGAAGCAAGCGCGTTGCTCGATGCGCCCCCGACGCGTCTCCATGTTGGCCATCCGCGCGGGGGGGCCTGGGCGCGCGAGAACACGCGTTTCGCTCGAGTTCGCGAGGCGCCCTCATGCTCGACGTCCACCTGGGCGACCTGGGCGCGCGAAACCAAGCGCCCCGCTCGAGATGCCCTCAACGCGTCGTCATGCTAGACATCTGCCTGGGCGACCTGGGCGCGGAGACATGCGCCTCGCTGTAGACGTCCTCAACGCGCCCTCGTGCGAAACATCTGCCCGGGCAACCTGGCCGCGCAAAACGAGCGCCTCGCTCGAGGCGCCCCCCAGACCTGGGCGCGTGAAAACGAGCGTTCCAGCTGAGACACCCTTTGCATTGTGCCCCCCAGGAAACGAGCGACCCACAGCACGCAACAAGCGTTCGCTCGAGACACCCTCGACCAATTCTGAACAACAAGCGCGGGGCTCGAGACGTCCGCAGCGAACGAAGTGTTTACTTTGCCATGCGTTTCATCGATCGGATTTTCAGAGGTCAGTGTTTCGCTCGACCCCCCCCTCCAACAAAAAAACAACAAACAAGTTTGACCCTCTGGCCTCCCCCGGTTCCTTTTGCATCGGGGGCAGGATCCGCCGGCCCTCTTCGAACTAGGCACCCGGGGCAGGTTTGCGCGCTGGAAGAAAGCCTTGGGCCCAGGCCCTTTCCGGGGAAAACGGGATTTTCACCTCGCCGCGGTGGCAGAGCAGATTTGCTTCTGATTTTTTGTTTGGTTCTTCGGTTTTCACATTGCAAACTGGGCGCGCGCCTGGCGTCCAGAAGGCGCGCCGGGGGCGACCTGGGCAACGCCCGGAAGAGCGCCTGGGGGCGCGCTGGGGCGAGCGCCCGGGCGAGCCCAGAAGAATGCCGAGAGCCCAGGAAAGCGCCATCAACAGTGCCCAGAATATGGCCCAGACGCGGATCTGGATGAGCGCCCGAAAGAGCGCCCGGAAGTGCGCCCAGAAGCGACCGATTTTGCTACCGATTTCGCCTCCGATTTTGCGTCCGATTTTTTGTATGTCGATTCAATACTAAAATAAATCAGACGCAAATCGGGTTTAAATTCTGACAAAAATCGGACGCAAAGCGGACGCAAAATCGGACGCAAATCGGACGCAACATCGGGCGCAAAATCGGGAGCAAAATCGGACGCTGATGGCGTCGACCATTTCTAGGCGGATGAAGCAGCGCATCGCGGTGCATCATGGCGAGGTCTGGCAGGGTGTGCATTGCGAACCCACGCGCACAATTCAGCGTTGGAGTTTTAGCGATGTGGCGAACGACAAGCTGCGATATCGCGTTGTGTCCAGGTCGGGCCATATCGACCGAAAAATCAGATCGCCGCTTCAGCGGCCGTTTTTCAGGTGAGGGAGTTCGCGAAGATCGAGAAGGGCGAGATGGGGCGCGCTATCGGGCGACCTTTCGCACTTCGCGTTTTCGCGGGCGTCGCGGCCGCGCGCGCGGGGGGTCGTTCCGGGCGTCGCCAGGCGGGCCATCCAGAGACCGCTCGCAAGTTTTGCCGCGCGCAAGAAGTCGTGAACAATTGTGCCCATGGGCGCAGATATTTTTTGTCTGGCCTGACGCATCGCGAGTTGGCCGCAGTCGCCCATCAAGAATGATGCGTGGCATCATTCTTGATGGGCGACTGTCGCCCATCGAGATGGCCTCGGACCGACGTCCCAGGCGACAAGATCAGCGCGGCTGGGGCCGATGACGCAATTGACAAGTTCGCGTCGAACGCTAAGAATGCACGTTCGGCGCTGGCGAGCTCGACATGCACGGCTGCGCAGACATCGCCGCGCGACGCGCCGAGGCCGAGGGCGGCCGCGTCCAGCTCGGCCAAGATGAGTACATCCAACAACTCCGTTCCATGCGACACCCAGAACTGGCTGGAGCAGAAGATCAAGAGAAATCGGGGCAATTGTGTCGCATCTGTTCATCAGCTTACGTGCTGCGTTAGCATGCGCAGCGTGCGCCTCGATCATCCACGCGCAGTCAATGGCGCGCGCTTCCTCTGCAACGTCTCCATGAATCGACCGCCGCGCAAGTGCGACAACCCACCGCCGCAGCGCGGCAGGTACAACGAGGTCCCGATATGATGATTCTGGCAGGACATGTGGATCTACGAAGCGAATCCGGCTAGCGTCGCCATGACGACGCCGGCGACGTAGTGAATGGGTAGGGAGTCCGAGTTGACCACCGTTTACTGCGTGGTCGCTTGCCGAGCAGAGGGACGTTTGTGCACCTTGTGGATGCGCATTGGAAATCGCATCATGTACAAGTGCGTTCCAGCCGCTCCGCTGAGACGTTAGCAGCAATCCGCAACTAGGAGCATTGTTACCCAACCATCGCTACGCTGCACGAGCTAAAGGCCAGGCCATGTAATCCGACAAAATCCAAGAGCATATTTGACATGGGTTGTTTACGCTTCAGCGCAGCACGTACCATAAATGCCGAATGTGTCTCCACGTCCATGACTCATCGCTCATGATCTTAACAAGCCCACTGAATGTTTTTTGTGTACGCCTCATCAGCTGGATTTGACCGATGACGGCAAGAGGTTTTGTGCGTGGTGCGAATTGGTGGCGCACGTGGCATGGCGGCCGATGGAAAGACCAAATGTTGCATTTGTTTTTACATGCTTCTGCAAGTGATGGCGGCTATTCAGTGTCTCGAATACGAGGTACAGCGATGCACGCCGCGCAGGGCCAACCAGGCAGCATCTTCGGAGCCTGGCACACACCGGCCTGGCGGATGAGGCATGAGGGCTAGCATGACCACATTCCTACTGCTGTCTGGCCACGGGCTTTTTGCTTTGCGAGCTTTGGTGCCCGAAAGTGTATTCGGACACCATGTCTTTGCGCATCCTTGTTTTAGTTTGGGTGGATTGGCTGCTCGGCTGGAGCAGCGAGGTTGCCCTCTGTTTGCGCTCCGTAGCACCAGCTCCACGGTTGGACTTCGCACGGTTGGCCCTTTGCTACAGCGTCTGAACAATTACTAAATATGTGTCTGAACAGTTACTTAATATGAAGTTTCTCTCGGCTCGTCGCTCGGCCCCTCCCGTCCTGAATCTGAATCTAAACAGGGTTGGAAGGCGAGCCTACGAGCGACGCGCTTGCGTCCGCCGCCGTTTTGCTTGAGTGGCTGGCCTTCAGCATATGACCATCTCCTTTACCGGGCACGATTGCGCTTGACGACCGGAAAACATCCTTCGACGGTGCATCCTCGGATCCCACCTGTTCCACCACCTGCTACGGGTCAGCTATAGGGGGGTACTATCTTACTCGTCAGGCGTAACGTATGGTACGGTTTACCATGCCCGTGCCCACTGACTTTAGCACGTCTTTGGCCTTTCGGCCGGCGAATTTCCATACCCGGCAGCGCCCAGCTGGTGGGGCACCTGGGAGGCAGAGTTCGTGTCAGTTCGTCAACGCAGGCCGCGCCTGCCTGTCAATTATGTTCAGCTGGAGATCGGGCAAGCATCCAATTCGGGCTGCGCGGGTTCCAGCTCGAGGCACCGCACGGGGGCCAGAATTGCAGTGCCCGCGCAGGCTGACTGCGACGGGCCGGAGGAGGAGGAGGAGGAGGAGGAGGAGGAGGAGGAGGAAGAGGAGGAAGAGGAGGAGGAGGAGGGAAGAGTAGAGGAGGAGGAGGAGGTGAGGAGGAAAAGGAGGAGGAAAAGGAGGAGGGGGAGGGGGAGGGGGAGGGGGAGGGAGAGGGTGGGGAAGGGAGGGGAGGGGGAGGGTAGGGGGAGGGGAGGAGGATGAGGAGGAGGAGGAAGGAGGAGGAGGAAGAGGAGGGGAGGAGGAGGAGAGAGGAGGAGAGGAGGAGGAGGAGGAGGAGGAGGAGGAGAGAGGAGGAGGGGAGGAGAGGAGGAGGAGGAGTAGGGGAGGAGGAGGAGGAGGGGGAGAGGGAAGGGGAGGGAGGGGGAGGGGGAGGGGAGGAGGGAGGAGGGGAGGAGGAGGAGGGGAGATGAGGAGGAGGAGGAGAGGAGGAGGGGAGGAGGAGGAGGAAGAGGAAGACGTGGAGGAGGAGGGAGAAAAGGAGGAAGAGGAGGAGGCGGAAGAAAAGTAAGAGAATTCGTCTGGCGAAAAACCCAACCATATGCAGTTGTGAGTACCGCAGCTGTGGGTTTCATCTTCAGTGAAACTCCCCATCGGACACGGAACGTGTAAGGGGTGAGCCGAGATGGGTGCCACTGGAGCTTTCGGTGAAGCTCCCTATGGGGCCATGAAACACGTGCGGGGTTTGCCGACATGGGCGGCGGAAGCGCATGTGAGGGCCGCCGCTGGGGCCTCCAGTGGGGCTCCCTATGGGGCCCCAAAACATGCGGGGGGGGGGGGGCCGGGATGGGTGGCGGAGACGCATGTAAGTGCCGCCACTGGGGCCTTCGGTGGAGCTCCCTATGGGGCCACGAAACGCGTGAGGAGTGTACCGGGATGTGTGCCGGGGGTGCATGTGAGCGCCGTCACTGGGGGCTTCGGTGGAGTTCCATATGGGGTCACGAAGCGTGTGAGGGGTGTGCCGAATTGCGTGCGGGTGACGCATGCGCGCGGTGCCACTGGGGCCTTCGGTGGAGCTCCCTATGGGGCCACGAAGACTGTGAGAGGCGTGCCGGGATAGGCGGTGGGGGCGCATGCCCCGCACACCCAATTGGGCACACCTCATCACCCCTTTCGTGGCCCCATAGGGAGCTCCACCGAAGGCAACGGTGCCGCTGCCCGCATGCGTCCCGCACACCCAATTCGGCACACCCCTTACACGCTTCGTGGCCCCATACGGAGCTGCACCGAAGGCCCCAGTGCCGCCGCCTGCATGGGTCCCGCACACCCAATTCGGGACACCCCTCACACGTGTTGTGGCCCCATAGGGAGCCCCACCGAAGGCCCCAGTGCCGCCGCCCGCATGCGTCCCGCACACCCAATTCGGGACACCCCTCACAAGTTTCGTGGCCCCATAGGGAGCTCCACCGAAGGCCCCAGCGCCACCGCCCGCATGCGTCCCGCACACCCAATTCGGCACACCCTTCACACGTTTCGTGGCCCCATTGGGAGCTCCACGGAAGGCCCAAGTGCCGCCGCCCGTATGCGTCCCGCAACACCCCCAATTCGGTACTCCCCTCAATGAGTCCCGCACATCCAATTCGGCACACCCCTCACACGTTTCGTGGCCCCATAGGGAGCTCCACCGAGGGCCCCAGTGCCGCCGCCCGCATGCGTCCCGCACACCGAATTCGGCACATCCTTCACACGTTTTGTGGCCCCATAGGGAGCTCGACCGAATGCCCCAGTGGCGGCGCTCACATGCGCATGCGTCACCGCGCACCCAATTCGGCACATCCCTCACACGTTTCGTGGCCCCATAGGGGACTGCACCGAAGGCCTTAGTGGCCGCGCTCACGCATGCGGGCGGCGGCACTGTTGCCTTCGGTGGAGCTCCCTACGAGGCCACGAAACGGGGTATGCGGGACGCATTGGGGCGGCAGCACTGGGGCCTTCGGTGGAGCTCCCTAGCGGGCCACGAAACGTGTGAGGGGTGTGCCGAATTGGTGTGCGTGACGCATGCGGGCGGCGGCACTGGGACCATTCGGTGGAGCTCCCCAATGGGGCCACGAAACGTGTGAGATGTGTGCCGAATTGGGTGTGCGGGACGCATGCGGGCGGCGGCACTGGGGCCTTCAGTGGAGCTCCCTATGGGGCCACGAAACGTGTGAGGGGTGTGCCGAATTGGGTGTGCGGGGCGCATGCGGGCGGCGGCACTGGGGCCTTCGGTGCAGCTCCCTACGGGGCCACGAAACGTGTGAGGGTTGTACCGGGATGTGTGCTGGGGACGCATGCGGGCGGCGGCGCTGGGGCCGTCGGTGCAGCTCCCTAGCGGGCCACGAAACGTGTGAGGGGTGTGCCGAATTGGGTGTGCGGGACGCATGGGGGCGGCAGCACTGGGGCCTTCGGTGGGGCTCCCTATGGGGCCATGAAACGTGTGAGGGGTGTCCCGAATTGGGTGTGCGGGACCCATGCAGGCGGCAACACTGGGGCCTTCGGTGCAGCTCCGTATGGGGCCGCGAAACGTGTATGGGGCGTGCAGAAGCTGATGCCGAAGCTGATGGCGATGATGGTGACGATGATAAGGACGATGACGATGACGATGACGATGACGATGGCGATGATGATGACGGGAGGAGGGATGAGGGGGAGGAGGAGGAGAGGAGACGCGGGGACCGTCTCTTCAAAACTTGGACCCAACACCACAGGATGGTTGGGAAAAAGTAGGCGAAATAAGACACATTCAAACAAGAGGAAACAAACGCAGGCGGAAACCAATCTTAAGAGTAGAGAAGCGAAAGCTATTATCGATGGGAATCTTAGTATCTATTTTAAGAAGAAGAGTGCGAACAATAATACTACTAAGAGGACGAATGATCCTACTATGATCATATACACATACAAACGGTACGGATCATGCTTATACCAAGAACACTCTGAAACATAATACAATTATTCACATGCAACGACACAAGTATAAGAACCCTTGCACGACGGAGCGCAATTCGAATAGTAAGAGCATAATAACCATATAGGACTAAGAAGAACAATACGGCGAGTACCCACAGTAATCAGACGAATCGTAGTATTATTAATAAAAAATCAAATAATACGACGAAGAAGAATTTGAATATGCAGAGAAGCGTAGTAATAAGAAAACGAACATACTTATCCTGGCGAAGGACCCAACCATGAAGCTCCCTATGGGACAGCGAAGCGCTGCACTGGGTGGGGGGAACGCTGTACTGAGTGGCTGAGTGGGTGGTGTGCCAAAGGGGGTTTCCGGGACGCATGCGGATGGTCCCACTGTGCGTTTCGGTGGAGTTTCCTATGTGGCTACGAAGCGCTGTAATGGGTGTGTGAAAATGCCTCATTGGGTTTCGGGAACGCATGCGGACGGTGGTACTGGGGCCTTCGGTGGAGCTCCATATGTGGCCGGGACGCACGCGGACGGTCCCACTGGGCGCTTCAGTGGAGCTCCCTATGGAGCCACGAAGCGCTGTGCTGGGCGGGTGTAAATGCCACATTGAGCTTTCGGGGCGCATGCGGACGGTGGCACTGAAGCCTTCGGTGGAGCTCCCTATAGGGCCACGAAACGCTGTACTGGGTGAGTGAAAATGCCACATTGGGTGTTTCGGAACGCTTGCGGACAGTCCCACCGGGGCCGTCGGTGGGACTCCTTATGGGGCCATGGAACGCTGTACTGGGTGGGTAAAAATGCCACATTGTGTTTTCGGGACGCATGCGGACGGCGGCACTGGGGCCTTCGGTGGAGTTCCCTATGGGGCCAAGAGACGCTCTACTGGGTGAGCAGAAATGCCAAATTAGGTGTTTCGGGATGCACGCGGACGGTCCCACTGGTGGTTTCGGTGGTGCTTCCCTTTGGGCCACGAAACGCTTTACTGGGTGGGTGAATCGCAGGGAGGAGGGGGAGATGGTTCACGAAACGCTGTACTGGGTGTGCTGGACGCAAACGGGCGGCAGCACTGGGACCGTCGGTGGGGCTCCCTATGGGGCCACGAAGCATTGTACTGGGTGGGTGAAACGCAGGGGGCAGGGGGAGGAGGCCACGAAACGCTGTACTGGGTGGGGGGGACGCATACGGGCGGCAGCACTGGGACCTTCGGTTGGGCTCCCTATGGGGCCAGGAAGCGCTGTACTGGGTGTGCGGGGCGCATGCGGCCGGCAGCACTGGGGCCTTCGGCGGGGCTCCCTATGGGGCCACAAAAGGCTGTACTGGGTGGGTGGAACGCAGGGAGGAGGGGGAGGAGGGCCACGAATCGCCGTACTGGGTGTGCGTGACGCATGCGGCCCGCAGCACTGGGACCTTCGGTGGGGCTCCCTATGGGGCCACGAAACGACGTATTGGGTGGGTGAAACGCAGAGAGCAGGGGGAGGAGGGGGGCCACGAATTGCTGTACTGGGTGTGCGGGACGCATGCAGCCGGCAGCACTGGGACCTTCAGAGGGGCTCCCTATGGGGCCACGAAACATTGTACTGGGTAGGTGAAACGCAGGGAGGAGGGGGAGGAGGGAGGAGGAGGAGGAGGGAGGGGAGGAGGAGGAGGAGGGAGGACGAGGGGCGCTGTCTCTTCGAAACGAGAACCCAACACCACAGGATGGTTGGGAATGAGAACGCGAAGAAGACGACGAAGACGAATAGAAATCATAGTATAAGCAAGAATATGAAAGAAACTCGAGCATAAGACGAATCATAATTAGTTTACGAAGAATAATAAGAATAAACATAACCAGAAGGGGAGAAGGCGGAGGAGGAGGAGGAGAAACCGGAGGAGAAGGAGGATCAGGCGGAGGAGGAGGAGGAGGGGATGGAAGCGTA